CAGCTTTGGAACAGTCTCTTGGAGGAAGCCCTTTGACATGCCAAATTCTCAAGGGCTCTGTCTCTGGTCTGGGGAGGCCAGACTTGTCTGCCCTTCCTCACCCAGTATTTGCAGTGACACTCTCACAGCACTGTCAGAACAATCGGATTTATGAGTCAGCCAGACGCAGCCCAGCAAGTCCTTAGGGGAGCACCAAGAACTAATGGCTAAAACACTGTCCAAGCCCATTCTAGTTAGCCCAGAACTCAGATGAGCTGTAACAAACTCCATGTTCAGGCTCTGTCTCTCTCCCTGTCAACCGCCCTGACTCCTTCCAACAACCAACTCTGATCCCCCACCTGACACCTTCCCAGTTCTTTGTTCTGGAGCTGCTGGGTTTGCTCAGCCTCCCAGCTGAGAGGTGGGGAAACCCCTTCCTCTCTGGGCATCAGTGGCCAGTGGTGTCAAGGTCCTGATGATCAGATTTGCCATGCTCTTCTTAGGTCTCCCACTGATATGGGTCAACCTCAGCCTGTCCTTTTTAAGGACCTGTTCAAGCTCAGACAAGACATTCCCAACCACGTCTCTCTCAGCGTGCACTGAGAGCAAACAGCCCCTTTTCCTCCATCACTGGGCAGCCATGCGAAATACAGGAGAAGCTGAAACACACTTCGGCTACGTCTACATTGGCCCCTTCTCCGGAAGAGGCATGTTAATTTCCAACTTCAGAATAGGGAAATCCGCAGGGGATTTAAATATCCCCCGCGGGATTTAAATAAACATGGCCGCCGCTTTTTTTCCGGCTTCAAAGTAGGAATAAGAGATCCTCCGGAAAAGGGCTTTATTCCGGATGATCGCGCCAGTCTAGACGCTTTTTTCCGGCTTTTCCCCAAGCCGTAGCCTTCGGGTTTACAAAAATTTACCAAAAATGCCCACTTTGCCACACCATAACGAAACAAAACCTTGTGATGGACAGCATACAGCAAGTCAGGGAAACAAGCATGTAGGGCCATGTTTACACAAGGGTTAAAAGGTTAAATCCAGCAGAACATGCTTGAAAACATGGCATTAACAGCCAAGAGCAGGCAGCTCAGGCAGAGACTCAGGCTATGTTTGGCCATGATCACAGACCAAATGCCAGACCAAACCAGCTAGAACTCAGCTCAGCTGCACCTAATGATGGCTAGAAAATAGCAGTTGTGATTTGCAACGTTTGAGGTCCCAAAATTTATTTCCTGTTCCTTCGCACCCTGCTGGTCACCCTAGAGCAAGGTGACCCAGTGTCTGACAGTCCTCGACCTACTACTGGCACCATATTAGCAACTACCATGTTTGATGGCATCCGTGCTCTGGCTTCTTTGCCAGGGAGAGGTGTTCTGAAAGTCACGTTAGTCAAACTGTGCTACAATTTGACTAGCATGATTTCCACAACATCTCTTTCTGGTAAAGAAGCCAGAGCACGGATGCCATCAAACATGGTGCCAACCACAATGCAGACAGGGCTGGACACCTATGAAGTCTAATAGCTGGGTTTGAATAGGAGGGTACTACATGAGAGGCACATACAGTGTGAGAGTATCAGCAGCTTGCTCTCTTCACACATACCTGTCACACCCCAGCCCTGGTGCCCTTGCTCTGCCTCCCCCTGCAACTTGGGAAAAGACTCCTGCAACAGACACTGGAGTTGATCCTAGTCATGGCTATGTGCCACCTCTCACTAGGGAGAATGTTGTGATAACTTGCTACCAGAAGAGCAGGGAGTGTTTGGCATTCCCCAGCCAACGGTTCGGCAGATTCAAGGCAGGAAGGGCAGCCAGTCAGTGGGTGCAGAGCCCAGCGTTCAGCCACCCAAGAAACATTTCAAATAACAATTAGCCCCAACTCAGGCAACTTCATCCCACCTGATTACCTTTGGGCTTTCTCTGCTAAGCCGGAGAGCCAGCAATAGACAGTGTACTGGGAACTGGTCTCTAATGCTTATCACGTTGACCAGAAAGGAGTAACCTGGTTGGAGGAGGGCTCATCTAGCTGCTGGGCATTAGCCAACCACATCAGTTCTGTCCTAGGAGCAGGTGCTTTCTCACAAGGATTTCAATCTAATTGCCCTACAGAACTACACAGAGTACCCAACACGAGAGGCATCTACAATTCAACTACAGCTCTAGCCCATCCTATCTTTGCAGCTGCATTTTGGGAGACACCCAGGGAATGAGCCACTTTTCTCCTCAATTAAGGAATTTAACTGCTTAGGAAAGACTTAATAACAGAATTATGCTCAGCTCCTGAATGGCAGGCAACAGTATACGCCCTACCTCTTAACCAGGTCACTGACTGGAGGGCAAGGAGAGGAGAAGGCTTGCTCAGAAGCTATTCATGGACAGCCACTTACCATGACTTTTCTTAAGACAAGGGAAATAAACAAAGTCATACAAGACTTTCCAAGCCTTGTGAGCTCACTTAGATTGTCAAGAGATGCTCTCTCCCTATGCCATCCCCATGCAATCCAGTCTGAGTGACAGCAGCACCTATGGGAGGCAGCCAAGAGCCTTGTGCAAACATGAAAGTTACGCACACAAGAAAATATCATCGCAGGCTCCAAAGGGCTGGCACGCTCTGAGGCAGCTTACCACTTCTTACGGATTGACACTGCTTATTACGTTTAGGATCCCGTCCTTGTCTCCAAATGCTCTCAGCCAGAAAGGCAGAGGCTCCTGGCACTGATATCAGAAAGATCCCACAATAAAAATAAATCAATCATCCTCTCAGCAGACATCAACACATTTCCCCATGCACATGTGTGCGAGATGAGGTCGCCAAATACCAACAGCGTCTGACCCACGAGCTGGGAATTCCAGCAGGGCCTGCTTTGTTCTGTCTCCAGAAAGTTCTCCTAATCTCAGCCTTGAATCCAGCTTTGGAAAGCTGAGTGATAATTAAACAGTCCTGGATTAGTTACCAGGCTGGTGAATAGTGGGATACCAATTTTCACTTGCCAGCTAAGACCTGGAAATCACTCACCATTGTTTGGAGGTTAAAATTGGAACCAAATCCTGAATGCAAAGGGGAGGGGAGCAAAAATCAGTGGGAGAAGCAGCAGATGCACCTCATCATCCACCCCAAATCATTTGTGTCCCTTAAGTGATGCAGCAAAAGGGGATACAGAGGTTGGGTTGTCTTACAGAGAGGAGATCACGGAAATTCAAAGACCAGAATGGAATAGAAGAGCTGGCAGGATACAATGGAGACAAGCAAAACAATCAGTCGTTCAGACCAGCCACTTCCTTAAGCATAAGAGGAGTTATGAGAAAAAAAAGGAACAGAGTAAGGGGGATTCAGGCAGTCATGGATTTAGGGAGGAGAAGTGTAGGTAGGTGCCACCTAAATTAATAAAAACCTGGTTTAAATTGATTTGAGAGAGCACCCACAAAGAGTTGCTCCAGTTAAATTAAAATGGCTTTAAACTGCATCTTTAGTTTAACCATCGCATAGCACAGTCTGCAGAGATCTGTATTCATGACGCACAAAACTAGACACCATATCACTATGAAAACTCGAGGGAGCCTTTTTACACATTGCTGAGATCCATATCTTTCTGAATAATCACACAAGCTACAATGGGGCTTCAAGACGTGTGCTGTGTGCAGCATCCTTGCCTGGGTACCCTTATTTTTTAAAGTTTTTAACAACTAACAACAGAGTTCAAAGCCCATTGTGTTAAGCACTGCACAAACACACGTACACAAGTAAGAGTACCTGCCTAAGGATCGCAAGAGAAAGACAAAGAGTTAGAGGAAAGTAGGGGTGTAAATGACTAGTTGACATGCTAGGGGACTAGTTGCTTCTCCACCCCTCCCACTGGCTGCCTCTATCAGAAAGAGGCAGCAAGTACGGGGGAGGGAAGGGGGTGCTTCAAAGTGGCAGCCTCCAGGCTCCAACTGGTGCTGCTGCTTTGAAACGCCGCATGCAGCCTGGACAGCTGGCCTGGGCTGCATGTGGCGTTTCAAAGCGGCAGCACCGTGTGGAGCCCGGGTCAGCGGAGGACTTCCCTGATTACCTAGGGCTCCCATGTGGTGCTGCCACTTTGAAACGCCACATGGAGCCTGACGCCGGGATCCCCGGAGCATTTCAAAGCGGCAGCGCCACATGGAGCCCCGGGTCAGTTGGTGATTCTGAGTCGCTTTGAAACACCGCAGGGAGCACGGGCAGCAGGGGACTGCTTGAATTCCCTGCTGGCCCCGTGCTCCCTGCAGCGCTTTGTTACACTTCAAAGGCGGAAGCACCCTTATCGACTAATCGAATAGTCAATGCAAATTGCATCGACTATTTGATTAGCCAGTTAATCTAAATTTAACATCCCTAGAGGAAAGTACAATTGCTGGTTTACAGATGAGAAACTGAGGCATGGAGCAATTAAGTGACTGACCAAGGGGACTCCAGAGCATGGTTATCAGACTAGATCAATACTATCAACCACCAGACTCAGACATGGTTTGACCGCTATTTGTTGCAGTTGCATCTCAGTCAGGTAGCAAAACTCCTGCTCTCTGGGTGAGTAATGAATACATTTCCCCATGAGGACTAGTTTAAGAAAAGTTGCGACCTCACCATTTAACCCTCCCTGCATCCACATTTGTGAGATTAATTACTCCTGGGTTTCTTTTCTCCCCACAGAAAATAGCATTCTGGGATTCATATTCCAAGGCTGGGTACCCTGCGTTAGCTGCTGATCGACCCTGCAATCCTAACCCAACAAGGAGAATCCTGGTTCACATTTTCAATGAGATGTAAACACTGATACAGCCTCATTGCAATCCTGATACTCAGCGCAAACAGATGTTAACAAAATAAAGGGAAATCCACTCACTAAGGACTAGTCTCCAGTTAAATGTTAGGCTGGTGTTTGTACTTGCTCAGGGGAGTGAAAAGTTCACACTCCTGAGCACTACAGCTGCGCTGCCCTGACCCAGTGTAGACCCAATCAGATCAATGCCTACCTACCGATGCTCAGAAAGGTGGATTACCTACAGTGATGGAAAAACCTCATACATCGCAGGAGTAAGTGTCCATGCTGCTGAGTCTGCGCTGTCGTAGTGCCTGTGGTGAAGCCATGTCTTAAGGCAGTGGCTACACTGTTGCCTTGGAACGTGGAAAATCCAAGGGAAAACCATGCCAGAGCTGTCCTGCCCGGACAAAGGGAAGAAACACGGACAAGTGACCAGGCTTGGGAAGGGGAACTTGTCAGGCCTGTATTAGCAGGTAAATCCTACTTGGGCGGGGGGGGAGATTAAATCCATCCATCCCTGATAGAGAACATGCAGCGAACTAAGTGCAATTCCCTAGGAGTTTTGCCTCCCAAGAGCTGGGGCCAATGCACAAGGCTCACCCTAGCTGGAGGCTTCCCCTTTCTGGTTTCAAGGCTGCCACTGAACCTCGAGGCTCCAACATTCCCTCTACCTCATAAAGGGTTTGTCACCATAGAGAAGTTTCTAGAAGTTCTCCCACAGTCAGAACAAGGCCTGCCCAGGAGACTCAATCCACAGCAGCCACGCTCCTCAATGAAGGTGCTGAGGGAAGAGGCAATCTGGGGGAAAGCGGCAGATTGATTGGCAAAGGCTAATAAGTGGACATGAATACCACCTCTCTCTCTGAACCACACAGAGATTAAGTGCCCTTGTTATTCTACAAATCATTATGATCTCTCCCTCCATTCAAGGAGACACAATACCCCAGTAGGTTCCTGTCAGCCTACCTCCCCATGGGTCAACTGAAAATATTCTCTCTTCTACACCATTGAGACATTACTAAAACATCTGAAGTGATAGGGCCCGCATCCCTTCCTTGGAGTAGGGATGAAGAGAGTTAACGGGTTACCTGGTAAGCATTGTCTTACCTGTCTTACTGAGTACGTGGCACCTGGCTGGGACTCTCACCCGGCCACAGCATCCCCTGCTGGCAGTGTGGCAGGCTTGGCCTGGCTGGAGCAACCTGTGGCGCGACAGGCCCAGATAAGCTGGAGTAGCCTGCTGGTCTGGTTGACCGGTTAAACATAACGTTTAACTGGTTAACATTTTAACTGGTATTTTATATCACTACCTTGGAGACAAGTTCATAGCCAGATCAGTCTTAGGCTCTGTCTATACTAGCAATTAAAATCACAAACTTTTGTCATTGAGGGGTATTAAAACCCTCTCCCCCAAAATACAAAAGTTTTGCAGTGGCAAATGCCCATGTGAATGGCGTTTTGTCAGCAGAAGCACTCTCCTGTCAACAATGCAAACAGCACTCATTGGGGGTGGAAGTATTTTTTTGGCAAAAGAGCTGACAAAGAGCCACTACACTGCCTGAGTTTTATCACTAAAAGCTGCATAGTGTGCAGACAAAAAGCCTTACTGTCTCCCTCCAGCCTGGAGATCATTCTCCTTGCCCTTCTCAGAATAAGCAGGTACCCAGAACTAAACGCAACATTCCAGATGGGTTCTCCCCAGAGTCAGAGAAAGAGAAGGACTCTCTCCTCTCTGCTCCAAAACAGGAGGCCTCTTCATCTACAGCCCCAGAGTAAGATGACTTATTCAGCAACACAGAAATACATGGCACTAAGACAAAACCACAATGACCAGGTTTTTTTACCCTGTATCACACTCCAGATTCCTGTATGATTTGCTTCCCATCCCCCCAGGCTCTCCCCTCCATCCCACATTTCTTCCACCTAAAGAAAATCCAGGTTTAGGGTTATTCTCCTCTCCCACTGAATAAGCTGCATTTGTCCAAACTGATCCTTGTTTTATTATTTTCAGCCCATTCCTAGTTTCTCTGAGGCTTTGTCTACACTTGCAATTGATCAATAGAACTTTTGTCATTCATAGGTGCTTAGCATCTCTCCCAATCAAAAAAGTTTTGCTAGTTCTTTGGAGCTAGAGTATTTTGTCAGCAAAAGTGCCAACAAACAGCATTTACACATAGCGGCTGTTAGCAACAGGGGTGTTGCTAGACAGACCTTTGGTCTGACCCAGTATAGCCGTTCTTTTGTTATGTTGGGTGTGTTGACACAATCTTGTCGCTAAAAGTTGTGTAGTGTAGTCATGGGTCTGGGTCTCTCCATATCATTTCTCTAGTATCTGCAGCTCCTCCCTGTTTTGCTTCATCTGCAAATTTCACTAATCTGCCATATGCCTCTTCTTCTGGATCATTAGTGAAGCTATGAAATAAGACCAGACCTAACACGGGTCCCTGCAGCTTCCACCAGACCCCTGGCTACAACCTGAGACATTACTATATATTACAGTACTATACCTTGTTGACAAATGCAGACACTTTTCCACCTCTAAGGAAGTGTTGCAGTCAAAAATTTAAATTCATATCGAGAGAAATGTTTCAAAGGACCCCAAAGTATTTCTTTACAAACAACACGCACAGAGAATTAATTTCACTCACCGTGGAAATGCAACAGCCATTGAACAGTACCCAACAATGGGATACAGTAGTTTAGGCACAGAATATGTAGTGCAAACAACTACAATTCCAGAGGGAATGATGGCAGGAAAAGGTACTTAACTGGAATTTGGATAAAAGGTAATACCAACTTATTTGAGAAGTGCCAGGAATCTTTCATGATCATGAACAGCCTCTACATTGGTTCTAACTCTAATCTAAATGCTATCATCTCCAGACCTAACACCAGCTTGGGGAATCTAGGTCAAAACTGACTCAGTGAAGAACATACCCCTTAACACCATGATGTCCAACATACTAGCCATATGTGCCTATTTGGCCAGTTGAATGTGACTATTTGGCTGGATGAATGTGGCTAGTTCAGAATTGGTTACACACCACAGCCCTAATGACGCCCACACACTGCTTTATGCAGCACTCAGAATTATCTGAAAGTCTCTCATACAAGCAGTAACCAGGCCCATCCCTGCTTAATTTATGAGCTCTAACAAGGTCATGGCCTGAGGCTGTCTTTGGCTAGGAGGAGTATGAAACTACAGGCCACTTGTAACCCCTAGTTGCACCCTCACAAGTTCTAGTGCAAATGGTGAATCCTGTGAGGAAAACAAACGAAGCAAGTCAGGCCCTGCAACTCTGTGCCAAGTAGGTGCTCTACAAGAGAGGAAGAGCAGGGCTCCCTGGACAGAACTGGGATGTCCACCAGAGACTAAAAAAGAGATGCAAGGAGATGACAGAATGGCGTGAAGGGGGTGTTAATGTTCAGTTGGAGAAGAAAGGATCAGGGGCTCCATAGAAAAATTAAGAAAGTTCCTACATGGCTGGTAGTTCCTTAAAGAAATGTAGATTTTGTTGGGGAAGTGTCAGAAAAAGTAGTCTATGGAGCCCCAAAATGAGAGAAGGAAAAGAGGAACAAATCCCCCAACCTTCTAACCCAGATATAAGGTTTGAGGGTCCTAGAATCTCTCGAGAATGGATTTGGACGATGAGAGTCCCATCTGAATGGCTTTTTAAGAAGCACTGATGACTTCTGTCATTAAAAGAGTTCAAATGCTCCCTTAAATAAGCGCACACAATGGAGATGGAACAGGCATTCCCACCCCAGTACAGGACTGAGGAGAAACTGGAGACGGGTGTTCCAGCCACATACACCCCAGAAACGGGATACAGGCAAGGTGGGAAGGGGTGTTGTCCAACCACCAACCTGGGGATGGAGGTAGGGAGCACTGTTCCCTCTAATTTTTTTCCATCTATGAGCAGAATAAATGTTGTTAGGGGCACTGAGGCATGTGCAGATGTGCCCCACCAGTAGACACATGCGGTGCTATCTGCTGCCAGCGGTGGGTGTGCTGCTAACCAGCAGTGGCATGGGAGTCTCCCCTGGGCAGCTGCCCAAGCACCCAGATTACAGGGAACACTGCTGGGGAGTGTCATCCCCAAACTGCCACCTCCAAGCACAACCTGGGGGGGTGGCCTGTGCTGCTAACCAGCAGTGGCATGGGAGTCTCCCCTGGGCAGCTGCCCAAGCACCCAGATTACAGGGAACACTGCTGGGGAGTGTCATCCCCAAACTGCCACCTCCAAGCACAACCTGGGGGGGTGGCCTGGGGGGGAACTGAGGGGGTGCTTGCCCCCCCCAGCACACGCCAGGGATGGGATTAGGCGGCTGGGGGGGTGCCCAAGCACACCCCAAGGGGGGATATTGGGGGAACACT